TCATATAATTTATTTATACAGTCAGGGGTTATTCAGTTATTCTTTTTTTTCTTAAAGGTCAATATAGGACCAACTGAGATTGTTTCTGCAGCAAAAATGCAGTAGGAATACGAGACAGGAGAGGCTCATCTGGGCTATAAAGTTCAGTTCCTTCCTTAGTGGTCACCCAGTAGACTAAGGTTTGAAATGTTTTGGGACGTGCAGAGAAAACAAAGAAAAATATAAAAACTTATTAGTCTTCTTCACTCGAAAATCAGATATGATTGTTCGTATTTGCATAGACAGAAAGTATTTTTTAGGGAAATTATCATTCACTGTAAGGCACCAAGTAGTTCACAGACTTCAGGATGGGTGCAGCAACGTCACTGAGGTCTGAAAAGATTCCTGTAGTTTTTTTTATAGTACTCTAAAGTCAAATTCATTATTTTTGTTTATGTCTGTAGAGCAAAGCATTGTAGTAGCAACTGCATGTCCAAAAGACATCAAATGTGATTACCGAAAGGTACTTCTAAAAGCGTCATTCACTTAAAGGTTCAGCTTCGCATTCCTATTGCTGGTGGTGCTTGTTTGCTAGTCCTGCCTACGCGCCCAGTTGCAGGTAGCAGCCTTCTGTATGTTTCTGAGAATCCCAGGGCCCCCTGAACTTCAAATTAATGTTTTGGGCTTTTTTTCAAATTTAGAAGTAGAGAGTCAATTGATCTCCGAGATTACTTTTTTGTTTGTTTTGAAAATGTGTCATATCCAAATGGTTACACTCTCTTTTTTCCATCCTGTCCTCTGTGGTATCTAGCAGAGGCATTTTCCAAAGCTCTTGTCAGTTATCTAATTCCATTTTCTTTAATGGGAGCAGACTTACACTACTGGAAAGTGTTTTTGCAGTTGTTGCATGTACATGGTTTTAAACAAAGTGGGATGGATGGGAGGGTGGGCTCTGTGTCGTCTGGCACTGAAGTCCTGACAATGGAGTAAGAAACCCCGCAGTTTGCATTTGGTTTTCTCGGGGTGTGTAGGGGGGGGTGTTTCTATTTGAGTCGGTCGCCTGAAGAGATGAGGTCTTTCCCTCCTTTAAGGGGGAAACTCTCAAAAAGCATTGCAATCCTGAGCTCCCATTTGAAATGCATGAAGTGTAGCAGTAAAGAGGAGGATAGAGGTCCTGTATTATTCCCTGAGACCTGCTCACCTGCAGAGCAACGCAGCTTCTGAGTCCTGCAGCAAAGCAACCACTTCCAGGCAACGTCTGCCAGTAGCATCAATGGGCAGGGAGGGGACAGAGGTGTTACCCTGCTCTGCACAGCTAGCGGCGCTGGGCTCACACCAAGGGACAAGCTGCTGCTGAAGGCTGCAGCTCTCTGAAGGAGAGCAGGGGTTGGAGGTCGAAAGTCGCTGTTTAGCCATATCGTGCTGTATCGTACTGGTTCATCCAACCTGCATGCTCATGTGCGGTTCTCAGACCAGACAATCGGCCGGCACAGACCGTCAGTCAGCAGAGCTCTGGGTACGTCCAGGAGCCAAAGATGTGCCCCATGTTGTGCTGGTCTGCCCAGCAGTGCTGTGTGAGTAGAAGACATTACTTTGCAAGATCAGTTTCGCAGGGTCCAGCCTGTGCCTCTCACACAGAGCCCTGAGGTCCCAGGGGTTCCAGGAGGGGCCACCAAAAACCTCCTTACCTACATCTGTTGGAGCCTGATCAAGACAGCATTTTTGATGAGGGGGGTAGTCAGAAATAGTAATGCAAATACTATATGAAAAAATACTACACACGATCATTTTTATAGGAACTCCAGAAAATTATTTCTATGTATTTGTGCTCCCTCTACTGGTTCTTCTGCTTTTACTGAGGCAAGTCAGAGGAAATTTTACCATTGATCTCAGCGGGAGCAGAAAAGAGGAATGAGAGCCAGGTTCCTCATAGGAATAACGCTGATGGACAGTCAAAAGCCATTGAGCTAGTACTAGTCAAATTGCCATATCATTTGAAAAGTAAATAGAATTACACAAAGTATAAGGAGTTTCTGAATTTATCTTGTTGCCTGTGTAAAGACTTGGCCAAACTGTAATGTTTGACTAACAACAGCTTATTTAGTCATAAGTTTAAAACCTTGTTTTCAGAAGAACTGAGTGTTTAAACTCAGATGGCTCAGGAGGAATTCAGAATATTTTTGAAAATGGTGTCACGCTGCATTTGGTGTCTTGTAAGCTGATGAAAGAAGCTTCAGAAGGGGGAAAGAAGAATACAAGACAAGTTTGGGAAAAGTTTTGAGAATGTCACAGAGAAATAAATGAGGAAATAAATAATGTAGTAAAATGTTCCAGTTGCAGATGATCCTAGTTTAACTTTCAACTTGTCACTCCCTTGGAAACTAAGTACTGCAGAAGAAAGAGAGATGATTGTAGGCGATGATAGCAAGCTGCTCGTTGTTAGCTGACTCACAATAATTGAATCTGTGTAGCCTGTTCAGTTGCAAAGTAATGTGTGCTAGTGCGTACTTTTTGACTAAAGGCTGAAGACTTAAATGCCTCAGATACTGGTTTTGGTCAGCTTTACTTAGGTGGACTACATACGTTATTTATTCACACAACTTTTCCAAACTTGACAGACTAAAACCTTAATATCTCCTCATGGAAATGAGTTCATAGATTACTTACGTGTAGTGTAAAGCAGTGCTTGTTTTTCTGTGTTGTGAATAGGTTGCTTTTTTTTTACGCAAGCAATTCCATTGTAATCCTATTCCTCTTGTTTTTAAGAGTAAATACATGTTTCTGATTTATGTTCTATAAACTACCTACAGTAGGGATTGTTTCTCTTTCAATTACACTGAGTAGTTAAAGCTTCAGTGTTTTTACTGTTTTCCAAGATTTTGCTAATCTAAGCGGCAGCGTCTATGCACACACCAAGAATTCTCCTAGAAACTGTAATGACTTTCTAAAGCGGACAGCTGTTTGCACTCCTGTTGTGGTCTGTGTCCTTTTTATCTCTGTTCATAAACAAGTTTTTCTTTGCCTTTAATAATTTTTACTGCCCATCTTCCAACTATTTCAATTTCCACGCTAATCTCTTTGAGATTTTGTGATCAGAACTGAATGCCATGATCATAGTGAGGATGTATCGCTGGTTTACATAATAACATTATAATATTTCCAGCATTATTTTCTGTCTTTATCTCAATACAACCTAACATCCTGCTTTTTTCTAACTATCTCTGCTCATTGAGCAGGTTTTTCAATAAGCAGGTGTATCCACCATGATACATCTTTGCTTCCCTGATTGTTACCTTGTGAGTCACTAAAATGGTTCCTTTTAATGTGAATTGCTTTGCACCTATCTACTCTGTATTTCATCTGTCATAATGCTCCCTTGGCGTGTTGTAAACAGGATCTGTAAATTGTTCATGGTATTCTGTACTAACTTAAGAAATTCACATGTTCCTCCCGCTGATTCAGCTTCACCATTGTTCACCATCTTTTCTTGATGCTTGCTAAAACCATTCAAAAAATTTGTATAAATCTTTTGATCTCTACCTGTATTCTTCTTTCTTGAAAAAGGATGATGTATTCCCTAATTTTATGTTTCTTGGTTTTTAAACGGTTTATATCTCATAATAGAATAGTACCTTGTAATCTTAACTTCTGCACTTCCCCTATGTCTCTCTGGAGGGATTTTGTCAAAATCCAGGTTGTATGGCTAAATGCATATTTTTTCCAAGAACAGGTGAGCTTCTTGTAACAACTTGTTAGCATTCTCATTTGCCATCAGATTTTAAAACCTTGTTTTAACGTGTTCTTTCATATCGTTAACAACACTTGTTAACACCAACACAGCAAACAGAAGAACTTGAATCGTGAATTGACATCTTATGAAATTCAGGAAAGGATTCACCTTGCTTAACTTGGTCATAGAGCAGTTAGGTGTGTGGTGGAACCTAGTTAACTAGATTTCCTATAGAGACAAAGAGACATAGACAAGTAGACATATGCATGTCCAAGGGACAACTCAGGCTGTCAGAATAATTTTTAGATAGGTTGAATCTCTAATAGGTATCTTAAGGTATCTGTCGTCTCCATTGATGTGGGAGGGGGCTAGGGTAGCTATTTTAGGATAGACAATTAATTCTTAAATGAATGAAATTGGGTGAGAAGAATCCAGCTGCCAGGGGTCACTGGGGTTCAAAACACATTCTTGTTTATGAACTCATTGAACAGCTGTCCTAATAATTGGTGTTTTCGTAACTATTTGCTTGCCCACAGCACACAGAAGCAGCTTCTACACATTATATTGTCGTCCAGTGTACTTCATCATCAGGTTCCCTTCTGGCTGTTGTCTGGCTCTTTCCTTCTAAATACTAGATTCATTAAATCAGGCCTGTAGTCCCAGTTGTCCTCAGTCTTGTTTTATCTGCACTGCCTGCCAGAACTTTTCATGTTTCATTGTGTCTTATAGCACTACCAGCTTTGGGCTCCTGCCAACCCTGACACAGTAAAACGAGCTACTAGGCAGCATTTTCTTATGTAGTCAGTTCGCCATCTTCGTTGTCGTTGGCTGTCATGCTCCTGATTAACTGTTGAAAAGAGATAAACAGCTCTCAGATGGATCTGTGGTCATTCTTATACATCTGCTTTCCAAATTTCATGCCAGACATTTTCTTTCTGCGTCTCAGCCTACCACGTAGACCCTACCGTCTCATTATCACAACCCCATGCAATCTCTTGTTTTCCTCTCCCGTTAAAATCTAACCAGCTCTCAATCA